AATGCCCTTGGGCTTTGCTTGCTCCCCGGCCTCCTGCTGTGGCTCTCGGTACCCGCAAGCCCCACGGATGCGGCCCCCCCTGCCTGGCTGCAGGAATTCTCCATTTCCATATAACGGCCATCAACAAGCCCAGCAGATGCCAGAGGTTTAAAGCAGAAAGGAGGAGGAGAAGAGAATCATCGACATGGGATTTTGCAGAGGTCTTTCTGCCTTTCTAGTAATCTCAGCCAGCCTCTCCATCCAGGGAAACATCATCCCCTTCTCCCCACCACAGCCTTTTCCTGCTGGGAAAACTGGGGCTCAGCCCAGGCGTTCCCAGTTCTGCAGCCCCGCTCCACTTCCCTAATGAACAATATCTCTTTATTTCCCACAATAACCAGCTACATTTTCCATTACTATTTGCAGCACCAGTAGGACGCAGCGCAAAACAAGTATTTAACAAAGTAAGACAACTTTTAGGCCAACCAAAACCAGAGAAAACATAGGGAAAGTTTAAATTACTCACCGGGCAAATGGAGGGAGAGCAGCCTGAGGTCCTCGGGGTGTCGAGGCTGAAGGGCTGCAGCCATGTCTTCCTCTTGGGCAGGCAAGGAAAGCTTCTCCCAGGGCATCTTGCAAGGGTATGGAGTCCCTTTCACGAGTTTTTAGTTTTTCTGGGTATTTTGCCTTTCTTTCAGCCGACTTAATTCAGAGCTTGGGCAGCCTCGAGTAATTCAGGGGTAAAAATCCCTTACTCACCCCTGGGTCTAATGGGGAAGACAGGGGTGGACAGGAACAGGCGTTAACAGCAATTTAGCTGCAAGTTTAATCACGTCATTCTCATCCCCTGTAACCACTGATCACCCAAGCACAAGAATTCCCTCCTGTGCAGACACATATTGGGGGCATTTCTCACTTCGTGGGGAGGTCTTGAGAATAAGATGGAGCAGAAGGGTGACTATGATAAAGAGAAACGTAAAGGATCCTCCCCAGCCCTTAAATAACAGCAGTAATTAGTGCTTAAGAGCTGTGCGTGGTGTGTTACGTACCTCACCTTTCTGGACTACACGTTTACTACAAAGGGGAAGGGGGGGGGGGTAAATATTTACGCTGCAAACAGGAATATAAACCTGTCAACAACATTTTGCGGAGCCTAAATAGCACTATCGGTTGATCTCCTCTCTGAAGCTCATCAGCCAGGCGAGGCAGCCTGATCTCCATCCATGGTCCATTGCACCGCCTTGATTTTTCACTGACAGTAAAAAAAAAAAAAAAAGCAAAATACCAAAACAAAAACAAGGAACAGGGCAGAATGGGTGAGAAAAGGAAAGTCCTCTCCCTTTGGGGTGGACCAAGGACAGCAGTGTCTTTGCTGCTGCTTCCCTTTGCAGCCAGCCTGGACTCCCCAGGTAGACATTTGCTGCTCAACCCTGTAATTATCGTTATTAATCCCAGCTGAGCTGCCCTTTGCCAGCCTGGGAGGGGCTGCCTGCATCCCAACAAAAGTTCATCCATAGGATTTTGGGTGCATCTCAATTGCTGCGCTGGGAACACGCCAAAACCAATCCTTCCCATATCGCTGGGAGGTGCATGCCCTGGGGATCAGCATTCACTCCAAACCTGTCATCTTCTAAACAAAACTGATTGGAAACAAATTGTGCTCCATCCCCTTGTCGAAATTACACGAGGCTGCTCCCAAAATAATCCTTCAGATCCAGCTCCAGGTTTTTAAGGCTAGAGATTTACAGCAAGAAGTTTCAGACTCTTCATTTTCAATTAAAGATGTGCAGCGCTTGGTGAGCCAAAATGTTATTTTAAGAGAGACTGGGCTTTGTGCTTAATTCAGAACAAGGACCCTGCGCTTATGCCAGGTTTATTAGAGGTGAGAAGAAGGAAAAGGAACGGCAAGAACCCCAGATCCTCCAGCAATGTTGGAAAGATTCAAATTTAGAAAGAAGGTATGGTAGACTTCGGGTAGACCAAACTTTGCCCCCTCAAAACCCCACCACCACCAGAAGAGGTGAGGAATTCCTTCTGTTTATACATATGTCCAAGTGTAGCCAAGCCCATGGTACAGAACAGACTTCTGGGGCACCCCCGCCCCCCAGCACCATTATCCCAGCCTGCAGCGATGCCATTCCGCTTCCAGAGCCCCAGAACTCCCTCAGCAGCAGCTGAGACAGCAAATAACACAGTTGCTTTATGGCCGGGACCAGAGCAAAGCTACCTGCATCAGACACCAAGCTGGAAACCAAAATCCCTGTGTGGGGGTCACCGTGGGGCCAGAAACATTTCCCACCCGGAGCTGAAACAGCCACTCCATGCTGGAGAGTTCATAATTGAAATGTTTTGGTTAAGTTTCACTTTTTTTTTTTCCTTTAGAGCTCCATGCTGGAGAGTTCATAATTGAAATGTTTTGGCTAAGTCTCACTTTTTTTTTTTCCTTTAGAGCCCACCTTGGCCAAGCCCTGGGGGTCTCCTTTGCCCTGGGGACAGCTTAGGCACAGGCTCAGCAACAGCTTAGGTGAGGGAGCTCTGATTAACCCAATGCTGCTCAGCCCAGCTTTAAGGGAAGCAATCCTGCCCCAGCACGGCGCTGAGCAGAAAGCATACCAAGGAATGAGCCTTTTCCCTTTTTATTGAAGGGGAAGGTAAGCTTTGTCTCTTCTGGGGTTTTTCCCTTCAAATTACACCGCAAATATTAGCAAAACCTCAGCAAACAAGCAGCTCCCCCCCCCGCCAGGGCCTCCACCTCCTGCACTTTCTTCCAGGAGGGAAGAAATTCCATTGGGGGAATTTGCTTTGCTGCAGAAAAAGCCACAGAGTCCGTGGGTTTGCTTTGCAAATCTCAGAAGGCAGTTCACCGCCAAGAGGACTATGTTTCAAAACTCTTCAGCGGCTCCTAGAGGAGCCCACGATACAGACATCAGCTCCTGCCAGGCTGCAAAAGCCCTCCCAGGACCATTTTCTTCCTCCAGCCTGATGACGAAGGGCTTTATCTGACTCAGCTGGTGAGGTGCTGAGCCTGCCAAGTGTTCAGGCAACACTAGAAGGCACCATTCCTCCAGCAATCAGCCTGCCCAGCTGCCACCACGCAGAGCCATCTGCACCCTCCACTGGCTGGAGCTCCATGCCCAACCACACAGCTAAGGAAAGGCACAAGCATGAGCCTAAAAGGACAAAAATCAGAATATTTTATTTCCTTGAGCTCCAGTGATACAACTGTAGCAGCATTTCACAAATGAACTCCTGCATTGTTAAATATACGTTCAAGGAAACACATTAAATTCCAAGGCAGGCAAAAAAAAAATAATAAAAATGAAGAACTGCAGACAAAGTTACTCATCCTCCCCCTTAAATAACATGTGCGTTTGTTGCAGACCAAGCAGCAGTACATGTTTCACATACCAGGTTAAAATAAAACTTCAGACTTTGCAGCAAAACTTTCAAATGCAAACCTGGAAGAGATGAGGAGCAACAGCTTTGGTGAAGGGGCTTTCACCTGGGGATCCAGCATTGCATCCAGCACAAGAGACTTTAAACAGGGAAGAGACCTCTGCAATTATTAGACCAACTGGGTGCATTCCCGGCTGCAGAATGGGAAGTCTGGTTTTATCGGGTACCTGGAGTAATCCACAAAGAGCTCTATGAACATACAAGTGCTCCTCACCCACTCTCAGCTCAAGGCAGAGCAAGTTCCCAGGAAAACCTGGTTGAGAATTATTTGTGCTCAACACTCGGGAGGTTCCCAGGTGTGCTCTGGCCAGCAACCAAAACAGGATGCTACCTTCCCCTCCAAGGACAGGGCTCAGCTGGCCAAAACCACAACCGCCCTCCCAATCGCTCCATGGCCCCAGGTTCTGTCCCTGGGCAAGCCCAGCCTTCGTGTCCCAGCTACTCACAGGTTACTCCAAATGGGAGATGCAGTTCTCCCAGAAGAGCCATGGTGAAGTCAGAAATATTAAAGCTAAGCAGCCAGAGGAAGAGGATGATGCACTGGGGACCGCTTGCCAAGTAGGACTCCTAGCTACCAAAGTCGCACTGAAAGCTGTTGCCTTCCACATTATGCTACAGTTTGCCTCTTTTTAATATTAAAGTGACCCAAAATTTTCATCTAAGTGTTTATGCCCATCTGTGATGGAAATATTTTGTGCAGTTCTGGTTCCTGTTAATGACTCTCCAGTTTCTAAAGTCAACAGAAAAAGACATCCAAGGCTAACAGCCAGCTCAAAGGCCTCCAGATCTCGAGGATCTCCGCGTGCAGGGAGCCGAGGGCTTTCCCCAGCTGCACCACCGAGACCAGCGAGGCCTCAAGCTTACAACATTTACACTTTTAAGACACAGGGTGCATTTGACACAGTGATTCATCCAGCTTAAGTGACAAAAAGGCATCGAGAAGCTCATTTCACCACCATCAGTGGTACAAGGTTAATTTACACAAGGCACATACACCACCACCCAGAGAGATGCTCTTTGATTTACCTTCTCCAAATAACAGAGCAAAAGGATTAGCTCCACTTAGTGTCATCCTACGCAACGTGCCTGGCTGACGGGACACCTCCGGTGACACAGGCCAGCCCCAAAAGCTGCCCATCGCCTTGTGGCTTCCCCCCAGTGCAGATGGCAAGCTGAAGCCACATCTCCAGGGCAGAGCCCAAGCCACCCCATGCACAGCAGCAAGGAGATGGTGCTGGCTCCAAACATCAGCTGCTGCTGCTGGCAGGGCGAGTTCCAGGGAGGATGGAGGGCTGCCAATTCGTGTCCTGAACTTCTATCTACACATCCAGGCCCCTACTCCCCTTCACTAGCTACTCATCACCCAATTAACTGGCTGAAGGATGCATTTTGGTTTGGAAGAGCCATTCCCTAGAGGCGTGGGGCACGCAGCAAGGCTGCCCACCCTTCCCGAGCAGGCACAGCTTTGCTGGCCACCACAAAACTCAGCATCATGCAGCAGCAAAACCAAACCCACAGCCCAAGGAACCTCTCTAGCTTGGTTTGCTGGGTTGTTTTTTTTTCCCCCCCCCTCCCCAACAGAGATGAGCAGCAGCTTGTTATCAAACATGGGCTGGGAGGTGGCTTCAGATCTGCAGGGAAGACTTGCCCAAGGCTTTCACCGCCTGCTGCCAGGATGCGACCCTTGCGACTCAGTAGCCAAACTGTAAACAGAAGGTCTGGTGTCCCCCCCCCCAGGCAGCAGAGCAGCTCCGTGCACCCCGCTTCGATGCCACCAGCAAGCGAGACATGCACAGTCGTTCCTGTAAGCAGGGTCAGGGCCTTAGTGAAAAAGAACTATGAATAAATTAAGGGAGGATGAAGGCTGTTCAGCTATCACACACCATAAGAATGTACCTTTAAAAAGTGTTTGCAAAAAAAAAACCAACCCTGATTCTTTAAAAACTACTTTTTTTTTTTTAAGAGTCAGCTTGTAAAAAACTGAATTGAGTTTCCCCCTCTCCCCCACAAAGTGACCAGGTATTTTAGGCTGCCCCTCCTTGGTGTCCTACATTTTCCCAAAGTGGTGTCCCTGTTCCTTTCCCCCCCATCCCAGCAAGTCTCAAGGGGCTACCAAGTACCTTGACACCCACAGGAGAATCTGGGCCACCGCTGGGGGGCTAAATGCTGTATAATTAAAGCCAATCTGGCTATAAAAATAAATGCTTTTGTGTCTTCCTTACACAGGATGGAAGAATCTAGCCCTTTTTAAACAGCTCAGCATCTAGCTGTAATAGTATTTAAAAAAAGACCCCAAATGCCTACATAGAAAAATAAAGGATAAACATTATCCATCTATTTTATATTTATATAAAAAGTAAGTTCTGTGACAGGATATTTTGCTTCGCTGTAAAAAAAACAGCATAGGCTGTATAACCTAAGCCTTCTGGTGAGGAGTAAACTACATCTTCAAACTTAATTCGGAGAAAAATATCAGTTAGCAACTTCACCTCTCCAAAATAAACTTATTAAAAAATATATATTATTATAAGTCTTTATCAACTATTTCACTGTTTAAGCAAATGGGGAACACGTGACTGAGGACCACTTTAATTCCTCCTTCCCCTGGGGAGGGACAAGTGGACGTCAGCTGTGAATCCACCAGAAACCTGGCACGTTCCTTTATCAGAGACCCTGGGCTCGCTGGCTCGCAGGCACACGCAGAGGGGACGCGGAGCCTTGCATTCACTCGCGGCAAAGTCCTTCACAAGGATGTTCTTTTTTCCACCTTGTGCTTGGTGAGAAAGTACTTGAAGAACTCATAGACGGACCAGGCGATGGCCGTTGAAGGCATCTGGTAAATGACGCGTGCCTGCACCCCTCTGAAATACCCCGCAATGCCCCCCAGCTGATAGACAGTCTTGAAGGCATTCATCATGCCCGAGAGATGTCCGCTGATGTTGACGGAGCTCAAGGCCATGTTCTCTTGGGTGTTGAGCAAGGTCTTGCAGACATCCAGAGGAGTGGTGGCGGCGGCGGCCACAGCCCCCGCGATGGCACCGGAGACGATGTGGGACCGAGGGTTATACTCCCGGCGTGGGTTGATCTGCTCCTGCATGAATTCGTAGGTGATGAAGTGAATGGCCTGGAAGGGGACGTTCATGGTGAGCTGGGTGGTGTAGCTGCGGTAGAAGGCACCAAACCCCTCTGTCTTCTGCACTGTCCTTATGCATGCCAGGACAGACTTGTAGGGGGAGTTGAACATCTGCATCCGCTGCTTCACCACTGGTCCAGGCGACAGCCCCAGGGGGTGAAGACGGGACGGACAGCACCAGGCAGGACAGACGCAGGGAGATAAAAGACTTATTAGCTAAGGCACACATTTCTTCATCATCACAACACCCAGACTGAACCCTGCTCCAAGTCCCAACCACCCAGACCCAACCTCCCCTTCCAAGTCCAAACCACTGGGACATTTCTGTAGTGATGAGCTCCTTGTCTGGAGGCTTTCACCAAAAGGCATCACACATCCTCTGCTTCCCCCAACCTGCCAGTGTCCCCCCCCCCAAAAAACCTCAATGCAAGAAGTGAGGGAGGCAGGTCAGAGCTCAGCCCCAGTTCAACAGCTCTCCACTTCCACAGGCTAACGCACTCCCTCAAGCTTAATTAAGGAACCATTAGTTAATGCAGACCGATAAGGACCCTCCGATGCATCTGTAAGGATGCAGAGCTGTTGTCCAGGCACTGACACACCAGGAGGACAAGGGCAGAAAGGTGATTAAATAACTGTACATCACCCAGGAAGTGTTACAGACCCCATCTAGAGTCCCAAGTCCTGAAAGGGAAAAACTTCCATCGACTTAAGAAAAAAGCCAATTTAATTTAATTTTAATCAGGATACGATTAAAAGGATTTGAAGCACTAGAGCCTTTTTTTTTTCCCCTTCAGAAAAAACTGACTTGGGGCCAGCTCAGAAGTACAATATAGCACTGAATAGCTGGCAGGACAGCAAATTGTCTTAATTTTAGCTGCATTTTACCATCACACCTCTTCATGCCAAACTCTACCCACCCAGGAAGGCTACGCAAGGGTCCCACCGGCTGCTGCACTTGTCTAACAATATGACTGAGCTTGGTTTTGTTTGGGTGGTCCAAAGCTTCAGAAAAAACACCACCGCTTCAGTAAAGATGCACCAGCAGGGTAGTAACAGCATGGTGCTACTACAGGTGACACCAGTTTTCCTGGAAAGTCACGGTACACCACGCAAATGCTGTGCAATCCCTGGGCAAGCAAGGCAGAAGAGCCAGGCAGGATTTATCCTCTTGCACTCGCCTGTCTGGGCTCATGAAGAGCCAGGCAGGGTCACCAAAGCAAAGGGCTCAAGCTGCTGGGGTGTCCTGGGTGCCTTCCCAGGCTAAGGGGGTGCAGGCGTTCCCAGCAGGGCATTACCTTCAGCAGGGTTCATCACGGCATCATGGAGTAGCGTGGCCACGCTCCCAGCTATACCTGCAAGACACAAGAGCATCCTTCAAATAAAAAGATTCAGAGGTGAGGAGCCCGCTCAGGCCCAGCCATCCACAGAGGCAGTGGCCAACATTGCTGGTAGCCCAGACCCCTGGGTAGCGCAGCCCGGGGAGCCGCAGCCCAGCTCCACGCAAGCCCAAGGAAGCGCCCAGCAACACAACTCATTCCCAGTGGAAAAAAAACCCAGCCCAAGCAGCTTGACAGAAACCAGGATCTGCTCACAGGACCACAGGCGTCACCTTTGCTGCTCCCTACAACTCGCAAGGCTTTGCCTGCGCAAGACGCCGCCGGCTTAGAATCATAGAATCACTTTGGTTGGAAAAGACCTTTAAGATCATCGAGTCCAACCTTTAACCTAACCCTGCCATCCCACCACTAAACCCTGGCCCTCAGCACCTCATCTCTCCTCCTTTTAAATGCCTCCAGGGATGAGGACTCAACCACCTCCCTGGGCAGCCCATTCCAGAGCCTGACAACCCTTTTGGTGAAGAAGTTTTTCCTAATGTCCAGCCTAAACCTGCCCTGGCGCAGCTTCAAACCATTCCCCCTCATCCTATCATCTGTTCACAGGGAGAAGAGGCCAACCCCCACCTCCCTACAGCCTCCTCTCAGGCAGTTGTAGAGGGCGATCAGGTCTCCCCTCAGCCTCCTCTTCTCCAGACTAAATAACCCCAGTTCCCTCAGCCGCTCCTTGTATGACTTGTGCTCCAGACCCCTCCCCAGCTTGGTTGCTCTCCTCTGGACACATTCCAGCAACGCAACATCTTTCTTGTTCGCTCGGCCTGCGCAGTGAGCAATGTTTAGAACTGGCTCAGCGCACCCCTAATTAGGCATTTTCATCCCTTTACTCAGGCTCGTTTTGAACACTAATTGCACAGATTCTGCAAATATCCAGCCAGCCATTAATGATTCTGCAGTTGGCTCTAGGATGGGCCTCTCCAGCCACACCTTCCCCTTTGATGTAGGTTTCCACCTCAAATTCTCTCTTGCCCAAATGACTTCTGGTCATTTCTCATTAACGCAGCCCTTCAGCTTTTCCCACTGGTACTGGAAGCCTGTAGCTACTTGAAAGGCAAACACGGGAAGCACATTGCTAGCAGAAAGCAACAAGCCAGGAAGATATTATATAGAATCATAGAAAGTTTTGGGTGGGAAGGGACACCTAGAGATCACCCAGCCCAACCCCCTGCAGGAGCAGGGACACCTTGAACCACATCAGGTTGCTCACAGCCCCGGCCAACCTGGCCTGGAATGGTCCCAGGGATGGGGCCTCCACCCCCTCTCTGGGCAACCCCTGCCAGGCTTTCACCACCCTCATTGTAAAGAATTTCTTCCTTAGATCCAGCCTAAACCTACCCTGCTTCAGTTTAAAGCCATCCCCCCTTGTCCTGTCCCAGCTGGCCCTACTAAAAAGCTTGTCCCCCCCTTTCCTCTGGGCCCCCTTGAAGCCCTGACCGGCCGCACTCAGCTCTGCCCGCAGCCTTCTCTTCTCCAGGCTGAACACCCCCAACTCTCCCAGCCTGGCCTCAGAGCAGAGGGGCTCCAGCCCTCGGAGCATTTTAGTAGCCCTCCTCTGGCCCCGCTCCAACAGCTCCATGTCCTCCTTGTGCCGAGGGCTCCAGAGCTTATCTAGTTGAGTTGGGTCAAGCCCAGTGACCACCATGGCAGATGCCTGCAGTCACATCACGTCAAGGAGCAGGCAGAAACATCTTCTGTGCAAACCCTTCTGTAACACCCTCAGCTGCTCAATTAGAGGGTTTCTGCTGTTGCAGCGGTGTTGCTGGACCTAAAAGCAAAAGCCTTCCCGGTAGAAACAAAACCTTTAACAAAGCATGGGAGCACATAGGGGATGCAGTGCACTTTACCATGCTGGAGCTCCAAAGGAGGCATCTGGAACAACCTGTACTTCAAACCTCAAGAGGTTTAGACGATGCCTTCAACATAAAGCCAGAAAGAGCCTGCAACTGCACCTGAACACCTCTTGTCCAATGTATTGATTACTTGTGCTAGAATGATTTGAGATTAAAGAGTAGTGCAGAAGTCTAGATTAGACCAAGACTTTGGAGGGTGCCCAACGGTGCCATCAGGGTTTTCAGGCCAGGAAGGGCTTCTCTGCTCTGCTGCTGACAGCCAGCCCAGCCATCATTACCCTCTGGAAGAGATCCACCAAGCAGCCAGCGGCCCCAAGACAGGGCACAGGTTTCAGCAGAGCACGGTGACCAGCACAAAGCTATGGGGCAGGTGCCACACTTGCCTACCTGACCTCCCCCTGCCCCTCCAGCACTCCCAAAGCAGGTGCCGAGACCCACAAGCCTGGGGTTACGTTTGCACCTCGCATCCTCCCGTACGAGTATTTACAGGGCCAGTCTGAAGGCGGGCTGCCTACAGCAGATCTTCCAGGAGCAGAGCACAGTGAAGGATGCCAGGCGAAGAACGTGAAGCAAGCAAGGGACAGGCTGTTAGCTGCAAGCTTTTTTTTGTGCAAAACCCCAAAAATACCATTGGCCAAGTGGCTGTTTCCTCCATGCTGGAGAGTATCGCTCAGCGACTTTTTCATTTTTTCATAGCAGGCAAAGTACATTGCGTGGGCAGGGCCAGCCCCCAGCATGGTGACATTAATCCCACGTAAAGGCCTCCAGAAACCCTCCGTAAGGACAATCTTCTTCAGAGCTTCGTACACGGTCCTGTACTGGGCTTTGGGGTCCGGCTGCAAGCTCTGCATCCTTGTCTGCAACAAAGCACACGGAGGGAGAGGCCTCAGGTTTTTTTGTCTTGAATGCAACAAGCACAAGCCATGAAGAGCTACAAGCCAAGATCATCAGAGGGGTCAATAATTGCTTCCCCTGTTGCACCCACACCGGGGCCACGGCACTATTTATCCACTCTTTACCTGCTAGATGAGCAAAATTAACTCCACGCTCCCATTGCGACACCGGAACGCTACGAGGCTGCTCAGACAAGCGCTCGGCGGAGGGAAGCGTAACCTCTGCTCTTGCTTATGCATGGGAATTACGGGGAATTAAGCTAGCACAGTTGTTCAAAAGACACGGTGGAAAAAAAATAATACAGTTAGGTCTTTAATTGCCTCTTGCTTACAACACTCCCGGCTCTCTGCCCCGGCTTGCTTCTCCTGCAGCGGCTCAGCTTGCTTTTGACACTGGGCATGAGGAGTTAGCCTGCTCGATTGGGAAACAGGTTTCCTAGAAGGGCAGGCTGAGAAAGTGGGGTACCCACCATAACGCCTCCCCCATAGGAGGAAAGCCAGGCAAAGGCCACCCAATTCTCCTGCACAGCGACCCAAGGAAGACCCAGTGGGTGACAACATCCCCCAGCAGCCTGGAGGGCAGGGAGCCACCCTTCGCCCCAGCTTCCCTCCCAGCTCCTGGTGCCCTGCAGCCACCAACTGCCCGAGCCAGGAGGTTTCATCTGCATCTTTGTTCAGCAGTTCTCAACGGGCTTTTCTTCCGTGGATTTTTGAAGCCAGCTAAGCTTCTGGCATCCAAACCATGCTATTAAAATCACTGCCATCACTTAATTATGCACCATGGGAAAAAAAAATGACTTCTTTTGGTTTCTTTCAGGCTTCTGCAGGCTGATGCCATCACGCACCAGCAACGCTCAAAGCCCTTGCAATGGTGATGCCAACCTGCAATGGGCATTTGTAGGGCACAGACCCCAGCCACCTCCCACCAGCAACAGGAGAGACACAGGCAGGGCTTAAACTTCTCCAAGCATCCCAGCAAGACCAAGCAAATCTAGAGCATCAGGATGCAAAGGGCTCTGCTACTCGTGCTGAGCCACCCACAAGTCCTGCCAGTCTGCAACACGGCCAATACACCCCGTCACACCAAAACCAGTCTGAAGGGATACAGTCCTTGGTGGCAGCCTCACACCTCGAAACGCAATTGCAGAAGGCTCCTGGGAAAGGACATGGCTACAGGAGATGGGAGTTCAGCAACCTGCAGCCAGCTCCATCAAATTAATGCTCTTCTAAGCAGCTTGAGAAGGGCAATTAAAAGGTTATTTGGGTTTTGACAAGGATGCTTTCCATCCCATGAGCTGGGATGCTTCAGAATAAAGTTTTCCCCCAAAAATGATTTGGCAGCACACAGGCACCAGCAACACAAATGGCTCCATCCTCGGATGAGATGCAACAGCCCTTGAAAAAGCAAGGCTTCCCCATGGCACCTCCGTGCTTCCTCACCGGGACACGGCCCTTCGAGCCGATGGATTCACTTGGACCAGGAGGCAATACTACAGCCAAGCTTTCAGGCAAAATTAAGCCAAAAATTAAGTGTTTCAGGTTTGGCCCTTCAATCCCCCAAACCACCCTGGTTACTGGGAAGTGAAGAGCACTTTCACACACACTTTTTGAGCCCAGGGAAGAGATCAGAGCTGAATTCAGGACTGTAACCCAGTGTAATAAAACCAAGCCATGAAAGCAAAGCAATACACGAGGCTAAGCCAAACAAATTACTGCGTTTGTAGTAAATATTCTAAAAAAAAAAAACACACAGGAATTGCATTTTGTCCTGGTTTCAGCCGGGACGGTGACTTAGTCCAGCAGTGAGCTGAATTTCAGACTTAAGCATCGGCCGGTGGTCATCAGGAGGCATCACCCTACAGCAGGGCATTTCGGGGCCTCGAGCAAAGCTTCCCATTTCAGGGCACTAAATGCATTGTAACCTATGCACGGTGCTGGAAGTAAACCCAAAGGCTCAAAAAAAATGCTCCCATACAGGCAGCAACAGCCCTGAATCATCTTGGAATTTAAAAACTGGTTTTAAATCTGGCGCACAGCCCTCGCTGAGCAGGCATAAGGGTCTTGCAACCCCTCCACACGTCTCTGCACCCTCCCATCCCATGCATGCTCATCAGGAGGGGCTGGGCAAGGGCTGGATTTCGC